CCTCATTTAATGCCTCAAAAGACAACAGAAAAATCTGCAGGCAGCCAGAGAGATGATGCACGCGCGGACTGCAAATCTAATTGCTGAGGCGAATCAACGATGGTTTCACCAACGAGCCATTAACTATCAATCTCCGCAACACTGGCGTACAAATACCTTTGTGGTGTTATCAGTATAAAGCCTTATATTCTCCCTAAACTCTTGAAACAAAACTAAACCTCCCTCCAGCGTAACACAATATTCAGTTCTGCACCAAAGCTGCCCTCCTCTATAAGCATCCTGTCCCCGGCTCCCCAAAAATCTGCCCCAAAACCTCTGACCGGACTTCTGTAGCACTCGCAGGGCTCCCAGGAACACCTCCCCTGGCAACAGGCACTCGCCAAGCTTCTGGTAACCGCTGCAATGAGAAAAGCCCGTTCGACTTTGCCAGGTACCATGTCCACGGTCTTCTGGGAGCAGAGAACGAAGTCTTGAGCAGCGTGCGCTAAAAAAGGCTAATTTTACCTGTTGCCTTAAAAAGGTGAGGATGTTTTCCATTCTTTAAGCATTTCAGCAGAGCCTTGAGGGTGAAGAGGAAGATTTTTAACAGTTTGACCCAGGATCTTGTCCTTGCTCTTTCAAGAACTGCAAAGAGCCACTGCACACACAGCGTCCCTTCCCCAAACAGACTTTAAAATACAACGCAAACAACTTACCAGCTATTACCTGCTCCAAGTAAGGTCAGCCTGTCCAGAGCTAGAGTTTCAGTGGGATCTCCTGAAAGCCAAATACGGGTTAAAACCTCCGGGATTATACAAAGCACAGTAACTCCGAGGGTCTCCACATTTCTGCCCACAGTGCCCTGGTGGATGTGCTGCCCGAGCACCTCCGTGTGCTTCCCCCAGCTCTCTGTGGAAACTGCTGCTCCTTGCCAGGTGGAGAGCGTGCAAGTCAAACCTCCTGGGGCTAGAACCACTTACTATTTCCAAGTAGCCCTCGCCACACAACTGGGATTGGGAGCTTGCATCCCCTTCTGCTGAACTCCAGCACAGGCTCCCCGCACCTGCTCATCCCATGCTGACTGCGTAGAGCCAAATGGCAGGAATTCCCGAATGCCGCGGCCACCTCTGTGTTTCTATGGCATCCATATGGGACAAGCAAACATTCCTTGGAATGCTGCAACTCATTCTGGGTATTGCGGCAGCATCTCGGACGGCCATTGCTTAACAACGGGCAAGCAGTTTGCAGGGCTGGCGTTGCTCATGTTGGGTGGCTCACGAAAGGAACAATGTAATTTTATCGTGTATGGGTAAAGCACAACAATCAGTGCCAGAAAGACAAATTGTGCTCCAGCCGTCCAGGCTGGTGCCAACCCTGAAAGCTTTGGTTTTGATACACTACGAGTGAATTACCTGATTCTGCTCATGTTGTTGCTACGCTATCGATCCAGGTCTGTGCTACAGCTTTATCATTTGATCAGCTCGGCTTAGTGCTCCTAGTCCAAACAGAGAAATTACTGAAACTCTCTTCTTCCAGTAATAAAGAAAAAAGGTGATATTCCTCAGTACTCTGCTAATGGGCTTTTGAGAACCAGCTGCCTTCAAAATTCATTTGATAAACTGCACCACTCTTTGGGTTTATCAAACCTTGTGGTTTATCAATACTTTGTAATAAATGCAAGTTTTTCTCAGACTATAAACAATGAAACAGTCAATAGTAACTTAAAGTCACCCTTTCTGCACGCAGCATTTGAAGGGTCAGCAAGTAAGCGCGTGCCGAGCAGGAGAGAGCTGCTGCCCTTTTTATTGCTGGCTAGCTGTGTGTCTTTGCATGGCCACAAACAAGGACTCAATGAGAAAGCATTCAAATCTATACCCCCATATGCAGCACAATGACAAGTCTTACAAGGCAAGAAGCATTTATCATTGCTCACCAGCTTTAAAATGTACTTAGTTGTAAAGTTTTGAGGTACAACTGACACTTGCTAGAGGCAAACAGATGTAAAAAGGAGAAGCCGCTTCCCAACCGCTGAGATCATTGCACAGAAGCAACTGGGGCATGACCACCATGAGAAACCAGAACCACCGTAGCTGTGATCCATTAAAGACTTTAAAAAATATTTTAAAAACAGCTGTATTCCCTTAGGAGCGTGTAGCATTTTCCAGAAAGCACTTTCATGGTTGTAACTGGCCCAAAATACCCCGTTCCCACCACATAAGCTGAAATTTATGTGAGAGATTGGCACTGTTCTCCCACGGCTAAAAATTCAGATTTTTTTTTCAATCTTTTCCATTTTGCTGACTGCGCAAGTTTTCCAGCTACATAACCAAGTTGTGGAAGGATTCAGCCAGGGGCGGGGGATGCTGAGTGACGGCGCTGTGACATCACCCTGCCGGCAGAAGGCACCACGCCAGACACACACATCACTCACCACGACCACACTGTCCTTTCCCCCACACCAACTCAGGCGAATCCTAGGTACAACGACTACCTACCATTAATGCATAAATATTTTAAACTTCCTAACAGGTCCTTGATAGATCTGCGGAGCTTTCTTTATGGTCTTGCTCATAGCAGTACATAATTAAACAACAGAGAATAAAAAAGAAGTTTCTATTTTTCTCCTGACATTCCTGGTTCTGCCTCACAGCAGGCGCTAGGACAGCCCATCGACAGCCACAGAGTCAGTCATTTGAATCTTGCTTACACTGAAAACATAGCAGATGCCGTAATACACCACAAAACCACCAGTGCCTGCTTGGAGGAGTGTACAAATTAAATCAATGTCAGGAGCAATGACTATCACCTTGGTCGGTCAGCCAGCGAGTAGTTCTGCCACCCAGGGGAAAATGCTCACGCCTTGCATCAGCTTCACAAATTTCAGTGGTTAAATAGCTGTAAATTATATCCCAAGACCCAGATACGTTATTCTACTTACTGTATCCACCAAAGCCATGTTAATACTTCACTTCCCAAAGGAAAAGTAGAAGTGATCTTTTTTTACTGTATCAGTCTGTACTGTTATTGCTGTTGGTTCTGGCACCCACTGCCTGCTCACAGTCTAAAATCTGTAGTAATTTACAGTATGACATTCCCAGAAAATAAAGATTCAAATTCTGTATTGATTTACAGTATTGCCTCCACAGAAAATAAAAAAAAGAAAAAAATACCCCCCCAAATCTTCTACACCTGCAAAAGATTTCCAAAGCCCTCTCTTTGCCAACAGTATTCAAGATTTTGACAATCCTTCACAGAGCTAGAGCTAAAGCTGGTATAGCTGTGGGTCTCTAGAAAAAGAAACATTTTTTTGCCCCCTCAGAAAATTGAGAGTAGCTGGCAGAGAATGTTTCTTTAAAAAACATACAACCTTATCAAAGTACTTACTAAGAACCGAACTGACAGATCTTGCAATACAAATGATGTAGTGAAATAATAACAGTATCTTAAACAGGATTAAAATATAACATTTTACTAGTTATTTCAAAGAATAGATTTTTTTTTTTCTTCCATCATTCTTATCTATATGTTCAGACTCTAGCTAAACTCCAAACAGCTATTTTTTGTTAGGTACCAAGTGCAAATACGCCAAGATAAGAGTTAGGAGAAAGAAATACCCCGACTTTTTTTTTTTTTTTTTAAACTTGCATGGTAGGCTACATTGCATTTCTCATGCCTAAAAACAAGCACCGTCTCTCAAAATATTTGGTCGGAAACCTCAGCTTGAAAAGGAGGTATTTGACAGAAATGTCACATTTACATCGGCATAACATGCGAACAGCTTCTAAAGACAAACATTAAGAGGAATCTTGTGGAGGAGAACGTGTGTGCAAGGGGAAAACAAACACAGCCACAGTAGCAGAAGTCCAGGTACTGCCAGAGCAGAACCAACAACCATCATCATCCAGATCTTGTGGTGAAACTTCAGCTGTAGCAACAGGATAAGAATGATGATGCCAATCATTTCCTTACTAATTGCACGCATTTATCTGTCGACTCTTCCTATCTTTCGAGAGGTATCCATATTGTTCTTACAACTAGTTTGCTCGTAGCCTGAAAAAAAAGTTTGCGTAATACAACAGGACACTTTTCTCATGTGAATATGTATCTTCTTTTTTTCTTTCCTATGTCACGTTGGAGAAAATACTTTGCTCTGCATGGCTAGTATCTTTTAGGTATTGCTGACTATGAACGGTGGCATTTCTCAGCTCCTTATTCAAGCTGGAACACAACACACTCACTACTTTGAGGTACAAACAGAAATTATAAGCAGGTGCCAAAATTCACGTAGCGCATTTTACAAGTAATGCTTACTTAAAGTTTTTGAAACAACTCTGTGTGTGTGTGTGTTCTGACACTCTTTGCCCTTCACAGATCCGTTTATGCATATTGGCCTCGTAAAATATTCACTTTTTATCCTCTTCACCATGATCCATTTGTCTTTTCAGCAGGTTTATGTTCAACGCTATTGGAGTGGAATGGTGATTGTACCATTTAGCCCAACAGCTAGCTGGGCTTGAAAATGTATCCATCCCCTTCCTATTAATTACTCTTTAATGCCTATTTCTATCACACAGACTCGTGTATCATCCTGGTTTATTTCGCAGGAATATAGCCATAGAATGACAATTATTGATGGAGCATAAAAAACGGAGCTAAAGAACGTATAAAGAAGAAAACAGAACTGATGTGGGAAGAGATGAAAAGATGAAAAATTGACTCGAGAAGAAAATTGGAATGAGCTAATTTACAAAAGAAAATGAACAAACCACGGCCAGGTAACTCTGAATAAGATTAATTGCTACACATTTCCTTCCTCTTTGCAATTTTTATCTTCTTTAATCTTCTGTTCCCCTTTTATATGTAACAGTGCTATGCTCTTCTAAACTCTGATTCCACTCTTGCCTAAGTTTGCTAGCTGGGTGTTGAGTGCGATCCTCTGTTTGCATAAACTGGTATATCACTATCGACTTTGGTATTGCTACTCAAATTTAAGCCAGCCGAGGATTTGCTCCATTGACTTCCATGGATTTATTTTTAATTTATTACTCTGAGTTCAAAACCAAGAGCTCTGGATATAAATCTAGAACATAAATAGACAATTTCCAAATCTAAACAGTATAGCCACAAGTACCATACAGAAAAACAAGCTAGGCATGTATAGAACTGTCTGAAAAGTTAACCAGATGTTGCTGTGCATTTATTAGTAGTTTACTGTTTATTAAACAATAAATCAAGATCCAAAAAACGTAATTAATTTAAATGAAGTATTTTGTTTAGTGAAATGGGAGCCTGTCAAAAGAGTTGTTGGGGAGGACAATTAATTGGTACAAATGTGAGTGCAAATTTTGTTTTTAAACTTTAAAGCGTGTCGTTTGTAGTATACAACATATGTGCACAATACAAATTTCATACATTTTCCTCAGTGACAATAAAAAGCGCAGTTTATTATAAACTGAAGTAAAAACTAAAAAAAAAAAAAAAAAAGAAATCACAGTTTTGTCATTGGTATGTGAAGGTTGTTCCAAGGACCCATCCAGAGCTCCTCTTCATCTGACTGTGTGTGTTCACTGTGCGACTCCAAGGGCTCTTTGACATCCTCATTATCAACAACCGATTCTTGCTTTTCTGTGCTTTTCATTTTGGAGCCCCCAGGCTTTGTTACTACATTTTCGGCCCCTATAGTAGAGGAAGCAAATGAGACACTGCAAGGTCTTGTGTTCATCTTATCACTGGAAGATGGTCCCTTTGACAACGTGTTCAGTGGGACATTCTCCTCGTGTGTCACTGCAAGCTTGTCCAGTTTCTTGAACTGTTTCCCCAGCCTCACTGGAGATGTGACTTTTAAATTATTACCGAGGCAAACGCGCCGGGTTCTGACAACAGAGCCGTTCTGTGCAATGTAGATGTTACCGTTGATGTTGTTTTGAACATTCGGGTTATTAAGACGATTCCTCTGGCTGGAATCAGGAGCGCTGTCTTCTCCAGTGGAGCTGGTCTCATACTCTGGGTCAACTATCAACTTGATCCTTTTCTTTCTGGCCCACTGTTTGACAATAAATAGAAACATCGTTAAATCTCAGCACCATTTCTTACATCTTACAATTTTTATTAACTTGGTCTTTTATACCCTTCCTTTTAGGTTGTACACAGAGACTTCTTAATTGTTTTGATCCCCACTGTGTGCCACTATCATATATACCTAATGCTTGAACACGCAAACAATTCTTGGTAAAAAAAGTTGTAAGAAGGATAAGCTCATTTGAGTTCATGAACTGCATAATGCGAGTCACAGAGCATATAAAAACTGGGACGTTTTTCTTCAGGTTTGGAAAGTAGTGACAAATTTGGGTTTGGTGGTGTGTTGTTTTTTTTTTTTGCTAAAGATGCATTCAGCAGTGCTCCCGTTAAGTCAAAGTGCACCTTCTTTGGAGAATTCTGAGAATGGAGACACTACTTTCAGAAAGAAAACTTCTGTAAACCACAGTATTGGTAAGCCAGTTGTATTTTGACAAAGCAGCATCTCAGTCTGTCGTACAGAGAGAGATGAAAAACGACGAGATTAATTACCCCTTCTAACAGAAACTGGAAGGCACTGATGATGAAGCCATTGTGTAAGCGATACTTCTAAGAAACTGCTGTCCTAATGGGTAAATGCTAGGAAGGCCTTAGAAGTTTTCTTCCAGAGTATGACTACAATGTGAATTCAGTGCAGAAATAGGACTGAGCAGGCCTGTTTTATATGCATAACACATCAAGCAGAGAAAGATCTCGGGACCTACACAAGGCAAATTCTCAAGCGCGACATTGGCAAAATTGGCTGGTTAAAAAAAGAAAAGCTTGACAGAAGGCTTTGTGCCAGGTCCAATCTAGTGGAATCAATGGAGATGCTTTGCTATTAAATGGAAGACAGTGGAGAAATGAGACTTTAGATTTTACATGGTTTATATCTTTTTTAAAGAGTTAATGTGAACAATTTCCATGTTGCTGTGACTTTGTACCTAATAGTGATTACACAAACCCCATTACTTATTTTAATTTATAATTCATCTTTTAAAAATAAATGCCTTCTTACAGCACACTGAAACAAGCTACTATCATTCTTGAATTAGTAATGAAAACACTGTTGTTTGACTAAGGTGGCAGCAGATACCATCACAGTTAACTCCCACTGCAAGACATACACATGCACACAAGTAAAGGCCAGTTTTTAGAGAAAGAAAATCATGCAAGGTACCAACGGGTGGTGATTTGAGAAGTCACACTTTGTACAAATTACTTAGATGCCTATTCTTTCGTTCCTGCTAAAGACATACAATTTTCTTTGCACAGATATATTCAGGTGGACAAAAAGACTGACTAGTTTAAACGGGATTTACGCTAAAACAATGTGTGCAGCTACAACTTTGTGCCATATGGGAATACCAAGAAGTAGGTAAGTGATCATAAATCTAATTCACATTTCAACTGGAATTAAAGACAGTAGTTGAGAAGTTAGTATCCCGCTTTGCAGCTCAACACCAATTGATCTGCCAGGGTAACTCCACAGCAGGCTCAAGTATCTTCAAAATTCGGTCATTTTTCTCTCCCCTGTCTAACAAAGATTTCCTGGCAGAGGTTTGGTACCTATGACAGAATTTGTACTACCTTTAAAGTACTCGCTCACAAGACTAATCCAATACTGGCTTGAAGCTTTAATTTTATTTAGGCTTCTTAAGGCTTATCCGGATAAATCTAGTGGTTCAGAAACAGCTTTGCAGCTTTTGATACAAGGCAAATAAAGCACAGGTAGCAAGCTTGCATAGTTCTGTGCGCTGACAGCACGGAGAAGAGCTCCGTGAGGAGGTACATCACGCAGAGGTTGCTTCTTATATGAAACCACAAAGGCCACTTGCCTGTCAATAATGGAAGTCCTTCCTACGCAATCGTGCTCATTCTGAGCGGAACTGCACTAATGAAAGCGCTACAAGGTTTCTGTATTGAATGACATCAGGTATTACAGGTTATTGAATTTTAAACGGCAGATTACCAAAACAGAGAACACAGGTGATGGTTACCTTCAGCAATACTTTGCTGTTACGCATCTCAAACTTTTAAACAGATGTTTAATAAAAAACCAAAACAAACCAACGATAAAATCACTGTACTTTGAGGTGGGAAGGGCAGAAGCTGGAAAATGTAATCCATTTCCTCTTCTGTCCAAGCTCACTTTGTACACCTACCTCTGCGTTCCTGTCTTGTACCTCACTGGTACCTGAAACCTGAATCCCATGATCCAGAAACAGTTTAATCCCAGCTCTGCTAGTAATACTCTGCGGTTCTGGGACTGTTGCTCTGCTGCAATTTCCGTTGTCCCCCCTCCAAATAGGGCTAATGTTTACAGCAAAGAACTCATCTGAAGATTAGCAAAGGTTGTATGGTAGGGGAACATAAGGTGAAACCATGTATGACTTTTAAGTCTTTTCATCCTGATCATCATTCCTGTCCTTCAATGAATTCCCTGTTTTGCCCCTTTTCCTTCATGCAGTGTTCCATTTTGTGACAGACATAACCTGCACGAACCTAGGGCCCTTAACAGGTTTGTGCCATCAGGTTCGTCAAGCTATCCACCACAGCTAACGCAAAATGCAATGTTACTTTGCTTTGCAGTGTGCATCATGCAAAAAGGGTTAAATCTAAGAATCAACACAATGCCTCTTTAACTACGTTATCAAAATTAGCAGAGAAAAAGAAGTGCTCCTTCCTGCCATTGCTCAATGAAAGTTAATCTTTCTATCCCCACCACTAAGTATACCCGACTAGCCTCTCAGAGGAATTCTATTGGTTTTGGTTTTCTAGGTAGTCCTATCCTTAAGACAGTGTATCGGGTTCAAATGCTGAAGCAATAAGCTTTGACATTCTCTTTTTGTCTGCCCCTAGTCAAGCACGTGTTGCTTAGGAAAGACCACACAGAAGGCACAGCAAACAAGATCACTCCTTACTGCAAACCGTCCACCTACTGTCGCTCCTTTTTAAAAGGATGTAGAATCTCCAGTAGTCTCTGACTCCGTAACGGCAGTATCCAGGGTCTCGTCTGACCGAGACTGACTGTTCTCCGGCGACACCTTTTTTCCTATTTTCTTTCTTTTCACAGTGGCGTCAGAACTTTGATTCTCAGTATCGGGGGAAGTAGCACTTTTACCAGATGTGGCACTAGCTGGGCTTTTTGTCCCTTCAGTACCTTTGGAAGTCACACTGATTTCGCTTTCTAGGCAAGAAGATTCATTCTTACTGATAGTTTCCTCCCTGTCACTAGCATCTGTATCAACCTCTTCTGTGCTTTCATCCACGCTATCCTCACCATTAATAGCTGATTTTCCTCTCTTGTCTTCTTCAGCAGCAGTAGTTTTAGCATTGGCAGATGTTTCAGAAACTGCCTTATTTGAGCTACCTGCCCTCTCATCGGGGCTTGCGCTGACTTGCTCCACATCCGCTTGTTCATCTTCTTCTGACACTTCTTCTATCGTGTCTTCTATTTCAAGGCTGGCGGAGGAGGTTTTGCTCTTACAGCTGGATCCTGAAGTTCTCCTGTGGCTTGTGTCCCTCTCACTACCTGATGCGTTAGAGCTCCTATTTGATTTCTGGCTGGATCGCCTCGCTCTGCCACGAAAGCTACCTCTCCTACTTTTTATACTGGACCTTTCAGTGCTTCTTCTACTGCTGGACTCGCTAGTCCCCGATTTGCTGTACGAACTTCGCGTAGATGAGCTCTTTGACAGGCTACTATCTTCATCACTGTCAGAGTCTTCCTCCTCATCATCCTCTTCAGATGAGTCTTCCTCCGATTCGCTGCTAGAGCTGGATCCGGAGTCGTCATCAGAATCCTCAAACTCGTGCCCACTTTCTTCATCTGAGTCCACAGTACTTTCAGTGGCTTCATCTTGGTCCAGAGTTACTTTCAAGTAGTCTTTATCTTCTGACTCCGAGCCAGAGCTACTACTCTTCACAGATGATTCATCTGAAGTGTATTTTCTTCTCTTCTTTTTCTTCTTCTCATAATCACTATCCTCATGTTCACTCTCTGCCGTGATACTTATTGAAACTCCTGATTTTGCTTCATCTCTTTCATATTCTTCCTCGTCTTTTCCTCCTGCACGCACTGAATCTTTGCTAATAGGCTCTTCAAATTTTCTGGAGACACTGATACGTTTTAACACATGATTTAGTTTTCTCATCGAAGGTCTGTCATCTGTCGATTTCTGGAAATAACTTCCCCTGATAATCATGCTTTTCTCACCGTCCACTTGGCGAGCTGACATCAACTTGGCGTAACTGGAATCTTTCCTACTGCCTTTCACTTTCTGCAGAATCATGGGGAATATCTTTGCTTTCTTCCACGGAGAACGAGCAGACTCAGTTCTTCCTACTGGTTTGTGAGCACTGACTGCTACGCGACTTAAGTGCATCACTGCTTTCAGTTTCCTTTTTCCCTGGCTGATCCTATATGCTCTTCCAGAACCACGTCTTAGATCCATCCCACCACCTAAAGGTCTACCTTCTACGTGAGCCCCTGCTCTCTCGCTTATACCTCTGCTTGAAGGATCTCTGCCTTGACTCATCCCCTGCAAATTGTGAAAATGGAACTTGATTACAATTTGAAAGATAGTTGTTGTGAAAACTTGTACCCTAAAATAAGTCAGTAGGAACAAATACAACATTTTTTCCCAGCATCGGAACTAACTTACCTGTTTTAGAATAGCTTTTTACCAAAGTTACGGGGAAAGTTTTACTTCTAGAATAGGCTGCAAGTGCACAACTACCTTACTCTGCAACAGGGAAAAATAATGGCTCAAAAATGTTCTCTCTTCTCATTTAATTAAAACCCATGTGATGGATTAAGAGTCTAGTACTTCTGAAAATTAGATTAAAAAAAAAAAAAAAGGAACATTTCCGTCATCTTTCTTCCGGCTGCCACTGACTTTGTAAAATTTCTTTACGTTCAGCGGTGAACTTTATAATAAATGAGTTCAGGTGACTGCTTTTCTCAGTGGAAAATCACCAGTTATAGGCTGAATATTAGTAACACCCCATTTGGTTAACAATATAAAATAGAATTACCTAAGGCTACGTGGATTTTTCTTTGAACTAGAAATCTACGTTGAGGGAAAAATAGATGTGCATATTAAAAGAAACTTTGCAATTTCTTTTTACTTCTAGAAAAAGGGAAAAAAAAAGAGACAAACTTTACCCGTCATCATGAAGGCAAACAATGATTAGCATTGGAAGACCTGCTGACTTGGTCTATACAGAACGCAACATTGTAATCAATTACCAAATACATTTGACAAGGTTTAATGGTCCTTCATCTTGTTGCAGAGACAGAATCAACACGCCAGAGACACTTACCTCTTCTGCTGTCGATCCATGCGGACTATAGTAGTAGCCACCATCGTTCTCCACCACGACTTCCCCATACTCATCATACATCCCCGAAGGAGACAGCAGTCGGCGGCGGCTCCCATACTGAGGCAGTTCATACCTGGCAAAAACACCATCATCTCTTCATAACATGCACCGATGTGTTCATGTGTGTCTCCGCACACAGCAACAAATGCACACGCTCACATCCCGAAAGGACAGGACTTTCTTTGCTCTCTTTTCTCTCTACCTTTGAGAAGATCATTATTCTTTGCGCAATGACCTTTTCTCCAGGTACCTGATTTTTGGGGGGATCTTTTTTTATAATTAGAGAATGAAAGAGCAGGTTCCCTGGGATCGGTTCCGGAGAATCCCTGCAGGCTTGTACGAACAGCAATAGTCCCTGCAGTGCTTGCAGTCAGATGGGCATTATCAGAACAAGGCAGGATGGTGTTTTTCTAGGTCAACGTAAAAGGCCAGAGGCTGGCGGGGAACTGTGAGCAGAAAGTATCAGCCACTGAACTCAGGCTGGTGAGCCACAAAAGGAGAGGAGACGAAGGAAATTTAATTTCCAAGACAGCAGAAATATGCAAATAAAAAAGTGAATGTAAAACTGGCATGACAGATGGGGTATACACTCTGCGAGCGAATAATTAGATTCCTAAAGCAGTAGGGAGTTATACAACACCCCCTTAACTTTTAAAGAGAGTTGTGTTGTCAGCGCACGCCTTTGTGGACACAAAGATTAAAGTAATCCCAAGGTGAAGGAAAGTCTCCAGATTGGACGCTGTAATAATAAACATCACCAACCTGGGAAAGCAGCATTTTCAGAAATACATAGGAAAAATGAAAATATACCCATGGTCATAACTGTAGTAATCTTGCCCGTAGTATTCCTGCCCTGGATCAATTCCAGACTCCATACTTAACTCCTGTTGAAAGAGAAACACTGATTGAACGCAAACAGTTATACACATTGATGACTGATGAAAAAGGTGCAAAGAGGAGTACCTTAAAGTGCAAACAAGCAAAATAAAAAACAATAATAATTTGAGGAACACTGACAACTGTCAAGAACCATATTGAGAAGCCAACAGGAGCTTTAAATGACCCCTTCCCTGGGGTATTCCCTGGGAGCAACTGTTCTAAGTCAGCTAAACGCAGACGCTGTTCTGGTGTAGGACGCTGTCTCACTCATCCTGCACAAACACCTCATTCCGAAAACTGGACTCACTGCAAATACACTGTCAGTTCTTGCGCCTCTCCCAAAGGGAAAAGCTGCGTTAAAAGATTAGGGCTATTTTACTTACACTGTTTGTCAGGTCCCTTTTTTCACGTTTTCTCAACCATCAACAATCACGAGCAGCACTGGACTACGCTAAGTACTTGTCTGTATCCTACGAAAGCGCCGGTGGTCCTTCAGCTCCTTTCACACCCTGTTTGGTATTAGGCTGCTCTGTGGAACACCTCTGAACTGCAGTATCGACACAGAGCAAGCACCAAGGCTTGGGTTTTGGCAAAAGACTGCATGCCATCTCTCTCTCACAGCTTCCTAGAGGTTTTTCTCCTGTCTAATGAAATTAAAGTTGTGTCAGAGCATCTCGGTGTACTTACTTATAATGACTGCAGGAATGATCATCATTCTGTAGCACAAAAATACCATCGATAGCAACGTCTCACAAAACCTACTTTTGCTTTATTGCTTATCCTGGAAACCGGATTGGGTCTAAAAGACTTGAAATAGAAAGTATCGGGTTGGCAATCCAGAGCTGCCTTTGCAGTACACAGCAGTGTGCTAATGCTTCCATTACCTTAGCAGACCAACTGCTTAGTTCATCTCTAGGTACAATAATCATCACCTGATTGACATCTGAAAAAATAGATTGCGGTTGGACGGTGAGGAAATTATTCTGCCTGTGAATCCGGACACGGAACTAGGAAAGCTTTCAGTCTGTGTGATGAAGTCCATGGGAGCAACTGAAATATGCTCAAGGGGAAAAATACCAAGATGCAGTAAATTTAAGGTATTTAAGTAAAATAACATAAATGAGGTAACAATGTCAGAACTTTCCTTTTCATCTTAAAAGAGTAAGGGGGAAAAATGACCTAAGACAGACAAGTTTTTATAGGGAAATTATGTAAAAGCCATTAAAAAAGTTATAATTAAGAAATGAAAAATAGTGGTACCTCTGGTCTGAGAAGAGAAGGTCTCAGCAACTGCTGTTGCTACAAAAGAAAATTAGGAAGGGGTTAATTAGGCAGCAACAATTAAAGTGCTGATCATTTCTGTTTGAGTTAAGATTAGACAGAAATCCTAAAAGCACAGGTCCTTCAGAGCCTTTTGTTCGGCAGTCACCTGGATACTTCCATACTCAGAACACTACTGCTAAACACCTAATGTACTAAAATCCCTTTACGGTCCACTATTTCTTTTGCCTAATATAAAATCAAATTCCCAGTTTACGTGGTGATTCTCTAAATTATTTAACTCGAGAACTTCTGTCAGAGCCCAAGAGAACTATTACATGGTCTATGTTGGAGACAACAGGGAGACAATGGCAGACAAAAAATTATTCACAACAGCTAGAAAGCAAATCTATGGGAATCTGCAGTGAAGTCCATGATTCAGCTATTAAAAACATGAAGTCATTTGATTTCTTACCCAAGCTTCTACTGCAATACCATTGCCTTAATTCTCCATCTGTATTTATATACTTCTGTGGCATTTAACCGAGTACCTCTCAACTGCAAATAAACTGTAATTCACAAATACCAGTAGACAGTGAAGGATTATCTCCCTTGTTTTCTGCACAGCTTACGTGTGATTTCTTTCTGTGTGCAGCATGCAGTGAGAAAAACACACCGATGTAAGGGAAAAGACCCCGGGAGGCTGCACAGAGAGGACCGACAGGGCCCTATGGCTATTCTCAGGGGTGTCACAGCTGAACATGGGGCGGTTTGGTAGTCATGTTGTTAATTATTCTGCAGCCCCAGTTTTCTGCAAATGACAGACCGATGCACATCGCTTGCTGTTTTGTAAATTAGAATCTGATTTACTCAGGAAAATCAGTACCACTGTCCCCACGCTCCTCCCAAAACTTGGTGGCACTATTTCAGCAAATCTCTCGGCCAAAACCAAACCCCGAGAGATGGGGAAGTTGTGTCTTGGAATTAAGAGACACAAATCAGCTCTGCAAAGGGAGGAAAAATCACAGCAGAAGAACAGAAAGCTTGCAATCTATAAAACACTACTGAACAAGGAGCAGGAGGCTCCAGACGCACATTTTCAGATTAGTAAAACTGATCCAGCTCTCAGCAGTAAATATCAGCCTTTATGACAGAAAAGTATTTTGGACAACTTTCTAATTATTAAATGAGTTCATTCAAATTTCTGAAGGAAACTCTCCATGTTATTCATTGCTGCGGAAAAAGACGGTGCAAGAACAACAGACTACACGGAGAAGGTCTCTGTAGTCCAGTACCTGGCCCGTAACAGCAGGCAGCGGCAGACGATGAGGCGTGCTGTAAGAAAACACCGCAAGGGAACTCCCTGGGAAACTGTTTTTGGCAGTTTGTCAAGCAGCAGTCTCCTAGCCGGGAGGTTACGCTTGTGCCATGATGGTTACCAGCCCCAGGGAATCTGTGCCTCAGGAGCTATTTGAACCACTTTGTATTTCCGACCTCTACAACACCCAGTAGCAATGAGTTTCACAACATAGGCTGTATGGGAAAAGTATGTTGACGTAATTAATATTGTAAACGTAATTTTAAACGTAACAGCCTTACCTCTTGCTGTGCATATCCTCGCCTAGAAGTCAGGAAAAGAAAAAACAAAAATTAGTATACTTCTGTGAGACTACGTAAAGATGCATATTGCCATTCTTTCTGGAGAGAGGTGAAAAGATAATGTAGTTAGAAATATTACTAGCAAGAAAAGAAATACATATCTACAAGACAAAATATGTTTTTCTTTAGATTTGCGCTGGACATACGAATCATTGCATGAGGAAGGCTAGTGAATCTTTGGGATCTTTTCTTGCTTTAGGTTGCAAATGAATGAGAAGAAATCCCCAATCCCCAAAAGCCAGAGAGCCAGTGCACCCCGTGAAGGTCGGCAAAGGGAAAGGGGGTGAATGCTGTGTTTGCCTTCCCTCGCGTTCCCGTAGGAGAGGTCCTGCCCAGTCACCTTCTCTGTTGTCTCCGAGACCATCTACAAAGGGACTTTCTTATTTCACGTAGCTGCTTAAGCAGGGAAACAGTTTCTCTTCTACTTCTGGACTTTCTGTATCCACTCGGGACTTGCCAGAAATTGGCCTGGAGCTCCTATTACTAATTTCTTGAAACAACATTATTATTAAAATTACACATTTCCTAACATTTGCTCAGCAGGGGGGAGTTAAATTATTTCTGCTATCTATGATTATTTTGCCACGGGCTTTATGCTTCTGATCTTACTGGAAATGTTTTGTTGTTGTTTTAATTCATTTTCTTGGAGCCATACATATGCATGACAAATGCCCTTATGTCTATCAAGTTCTCTATTTTCACATTTTGTGCCAGAAAATTAAAACGGTTTAGACAAAACTAGGGAACAGCAATTTAGGTCTTAGCATTATTATTAAGGATAAGCCTGGATTTTATTTTATTTTCTTAAGAAGGAAAGGGTAAATGCTCAAAATTGTGTTGAGCTTAACCCAGTACACAGACAGCAGTCTAGGGAAAGTCTTTAATCACACTTGAGTAAGTAATAAAGAACAGAGTAGAAGTCCTTTTAATTCTTTAATATCGCCATCTGTGAAGTTTCCTATTAATATTCAGCACATGGAATTGATTATCAGCATTAAATTAATGCTGTTGCCCATATAATATAAAACTAATGAACAACTGAAATGAAGATTTATCATCAAAAGATGATCTGTGACTTTTCAAAGCCCACTTGAGGAACGCTGTATTTAGTTTCCATATCGCCTAAAACTATCTTCAGATAAAGAAGGTCTTGTGTTGCACAGAGGATAAGTAAGCCTATTACTCTTAATTGCTCTTGAGCAGTCACTACATTGCAGATTAAAAGCATAGTATAAGTAATTCTAATTAAATTTGGAATTCAACTTTCTTAAAAATAGCACCACGCTGTGTTTTGAGAGATGCTTATACTTCTCTTACAATTTTTTGTGCGGCCACAATTAGAAGAAAAAAAAAAGCCCCCAAAAGACAAAAAATACCCATTCACTCAATACAGCACAAGGATCTTTTCTGACAAAAAGACAAAGGTCAAAACAACATCATTTGTTTCCACGAAGGAATTAAAGCTCTTCACCGAGGGAGGAATTGCTTCTGGATAAACATTATCAGCCAGACTTCACTGCAGTCAGTCAGAGAGAAATCTTCAGTGCAAAATGGGAAACAAGGACGTAGTGCCTATGATGATGTAGGATAATATGACAGCTAGTATACACTGCTGGTACTTAACACAAAAGATAAAACAAGAACGAATTTACACATACAAAATGCGCCAACCTTTCACAGGTCTGTATTGCTAACGTAGGTTAAAAGAACTGTGATTTGCCTAAAGCCAACAATTTTCCCAATTACTGGCCTCCATCAGGCATTTGCAATTTCATACTTTATATCCGTTTTCCTATTAAAAGCAATAGCATCATAAACCCTAATTCTACAGATACTACTCAGAGAAGGCAACTGCTAATCAGTTTGCCCTGACTCTTAGAACAGGGGTTTCCTGCAGTTCATAGCTGGAACCGAGGAGGACGACTCTGGAAGGGAGAGGAGTAATGATACGCTACTGCTCCATTTCAGCTTTGTGAACGGGTTTGCGAAGAAGTGCTCTCCACTGATGCAACCTCTGCTCCTGCTCGGAACTCAACCCAACCAAGCTGATGATGAGAGGATGAGAGATATATCCAGGGTCACGCTGACCCTAATTAACCAAATCGGACAACCTGAAGAGGGGGCAATAATCTTATATATGCTCAACTTCTTACCAACTACTATAGTGGTTGTAATACCTGGTCATGCTGCAGAATTGCAGTAGCACCCAGACATCTCAATGGGACAGAACTTCCCTGAGTTAGGTTAAAAATACATGCTATTGGTACAGTTTCTTTCCCGGTCTAATAGAACGATTTTTTTTTTTAACAAAGGCTATTCAAAAAACCAGCAGGAGAACAAAGATTGCATTAATTCCAGTCAAAAGGAATTTAGGTTTTGTAAACTTTTCAACTTAATAAAGGTTTCCAGAATGAGAAGGTAGGTGTTCCTCATTAGCGAAGAGCTGATTACCATGACCCCCCCAGACTCTTCCGAGACTGATGAAACTAAATATTTCAAAAGGAGCTCCTGTGTGATGTCCATTCTTTCTGCTTAAGGAATGCCACAAATAATTGTAGCCGAATAAAACCTTTGGAGTATGTGCTGTGAATTACTAAACACCTATGGCTTTGCTGCTTGACACTACACACTGCAAAATTAGGTCCTATTTGTCTAATATTTCACTGGTGATGTAATGAACTTCACAAAAGCATGGGCCTGCAAGCTCTAAAGTGGGATTTGGGTACTTAAATGCAAATCTCCGTCTTAAGGGTTGATCCACTCTGAACACGCTTAGCGCAGTAATTTCTCACGCTCATCTCGGCACGCTTTCCACTGTCTCCACGCCAGGACCATGGCAGACACACAGAAGCAAGTAAACATGTAAGCCATCTTCCGATTCTGGCTCTTAAATCTTAAAAGTCTCTCTACCTAATAGCTGCTGAACTTTGACAATTTGCTGCTGGTGCTGCAGTTGTGCCGCTCTTGGAGAATTCAGCATCATCGGCAGGTATTCTACATGCGTGCATCCCATAAATTATACCGATTCTGTTACAGCAAAAATGCTATGATCAATAATAACTCCCCTCACACATTTAGCTACTATACGTGTCTGGGAACTACAGTCTAGCCCAAGAAGAGTTTTAAATGAAGAAAAATTCTAATGTATCAGCGAGACTTGTGTGATGGAGTTCATGGAGTTTGGCTCTGGGACAAGGAAAGAGAAACTACCTTCAACAGTTTCCGACTGAAGCATCCATACATGTCCTAACTGCAGATTTAAAAAAAAAAAAAAAAAAAAGAAAAGAAAAGAAAGAGAGAAAAGAGAAAAAGAAGAGAAAAAGCCAAGTACCACGGAAATGCTGAGTATCTCTAGACAGTCTGGTAACTAATTCATTACCTTTTTGCTCAGAATTACAAGCTTGGAGACTGAACTGGGGTTTTAGTTTTTCTTCATTATGTAATATCTGCCTTTCCCAATATGTTTTAAAAAATTGTCATATTAAACACAAAGATTTTGAATTTTGGCAAAAGACCAAAAGGAAACTTGCAAGTTGAACCAAACTAACGTTCATTTCAATGCCCAAACTGTTTTTACTTACCCTTTTTTTCAAAGGACAAGCCAATTTACCATCATTGACATATTTAATGTAAAGGTCTGATTTAGATGACTGTGAGCAAAAAAGCCAGTAAGTAAATCCATATTACATGGATTTTTACAAGTACTTGAAAAATCTTCACTTGGTGACACTAATCAGAGTGACTTTATTACAATTTAAGATAAGCGAGATGTTTCAGCTGTAAAGCTCATGGCAAACTAGCATGAAAGTTAAGACAGATGCCAACAACATGCACATGCAAAATAAAAAACAAACAAATGCTTTGTACAGTAAAGAAATTTACAAAATAAAAACTTTTAACATGCAGTTACAATATAAAAAATACAATGGAAGGCAGAACATAGGTAACAAGGAGGGAAGACAGCCAAGTTTGCTGACAAATCAAGACAAAACCCTTCTTCTGACTTGAGATGCAAACGTGAGCTGCAAGAAAGCGTGCCAGCAGAGCAGAGCGCCGCGCCATCTCCCACGGAACACGACGAGGCATTGCTGCGATAACTCCGGCTCGCTATGCTGAGCCTGCTGACTACCGGTACTTGCTTTCTTTGCCGTCCAATATTTGACAGTCAGGTGGTACATTTTACAGCCAAAGCAAGAGATTCCAATTACAGCCGCAGAAAAATCACTCTGCTTACTGGTATTACCTACAGTGAAGGCTGCTTCACAGAAAGCAGTATCAAGCCCTCTGCTGTCTATGACCGATCCTTGGGTAAAAATGGACAGTTTTCGCCAAGAATGCTTGGTAAACAGACTAAGAACCAGCATCATAGAACAGTACGATGTAGCTCTGAGAAAACAACTTGTAGAATTCTTATACATTACAAATTTCTGAGCAAACAGGAAAGACAACATCTCTCAATTTGGGACTAGGACTGAATAAGTACTGATACACAGCAGAGAAAGGGAAAAAGTCTGAATTTCTAGAGAGTCTGAGGCAGATACCATGTGCTGCATTAGAGTCATCTCACTCAAAACGTTACATGCAGAAAACATCCAACCGTAAATATTACAGTGCTGTCGACTGAGACGGAAAGCGTTTCTCAAGCTCCTCCACAACACAGCTCAAGTTGCCATTCTGCTGGTTGTGCTCAGCCACAGCTTCTGGAGTTGGCAGCTCTGGTGTCGCAACCGGCTTGAGCTTAGAAATGGCCTTGGGCAGAACGTGGTTTTTGTCTATTTGGCTATACATGTTGGCCACAGACTTTTCGATTGCTGCTAAATTCTGAATGTTTTTAAGAATACCTTTCAGCTCCCTACGGGGAGGAGGCTCTGGCACTGTGGCCGGCGGTGGTACAGCTGGCTGTTTGGCAGGGGATTTTGAATGCTTGGCAGAGGAGAGGTGCTGGGTGCTAAGAGGAGATGA